GAAAAGAAACATATGGTCTCAAGGGTAGCATTTATTATTGCTATTTATTATGGACCTGCCTTTCTTAAATCAAACAAAGCAGAGGATATTGTTTATGATTTTAATCCATTCAAAATTACTGAAACAATTAAAAAAGAATGGTGTTTTGAAGTTGGAAACTTACTTCCGAAAAGCATGAGTAACCACACATGGTATTTGTCTCCTAAAGTTGTTGTACTATCGTTTAGGTAATCCTCATATGAAAGCAGGTGCTTCTACAGAAACCTCTGACAACCCAAGAATTTCCAGTTCTTGGGTTATCAGAGGTTTCTGTAGAAGCTCCTTCTGCTGTTATTGTTACCAGTGATTGTTGATCAGAGGATTTAGTTATGAAGGAGAGTTAGCTTTTTTTTATACTTACAGGTCACAACAAATTTGTTTGAGAGTGGCATACTTCAAGCAGGGCTGGACAAAGAGGGTTTTTTGGATTTTTTTTTTTTTTAAACAAATAAAATAGAATTTCTGGGTTTTTTGAGTTTTTTTTTTTTACAATTTAAGTTTTGAAAACTATTATTATGACATTGTCATTTTTTGCTAATATTTTAATCTGTTAAACAATTTCGTTATGATATTCATCAAGTTTTCTGGAAATCTCCATATTATGTCATGCAGTCATTAATATTTGATTTTTTCATTTTGATAATGATATCTAGCATTTAAAAATAAAACCCAAAAAACCCATAAACCCACTTTCTGAAATAATTAAATATGGATTTTTTCCAGCTCTAACTTCAAGTGATTTCTTAGCACTAGATTCATACATACATTTCACTTAATTAGTTTGCAATCTTAGTGTGACCAATGACTACGCAAAAAGAAATATTATTTTAATTGAAAACTTTGTTCACAGTTCCCACAATGAGGATTTTGTTCACAGTTCCCACAATGAGAGACAGAACATTCTTTTGGTAGTCAGGGGACATAGAAAGCTAATAACAAAAAGTATTTTGCTTAAGGAACTGGTAATGCTGAGAACCTAAAGTTGAAAAATTAACATAAAATAATAGCTAACTGTATGAAACTATAAACAGTATTTTTTTTTTTCTAATATCAAACAAAATTTAGTTATAAACATATTTTAACCTGTAAAAATGACATAAAGTTCAGCTAATCCTCAATATTTCAAAAATTACATGTAGCACTTCCAACAAACAAAAATAAGTGAAATTTTGTGTTTAGACTAACTGAATTTTGTAGAACAGGATAAGCAACTGCGGCTATTTATTTTGTGTCACCCTAATCAGCATTTCTTTTATTAAATTTTCTGCTTAAATAATAAAAAAATGTCTTTAGTTACAGTCTTTAGTAAATTAAGACATATTATGAAAAATTGTCCATGTCACCAATAAATAATTGTCCATGTTACCCATAAATAATTATCCATGTCGCCTATAAATAATTGTCTATGTCACCCATAAATAATTGTCCATGTCACCCATAAAGAATTGGTCAATGCTCAAAATAATTGTTTGAAAGTTGCTGATCAACACTGATCAGCAGAAATTAAAAAATTGAAAAGTAGAAGATCAAATAATTTTTCAGATTATCAAAATTTCTCTAAATTTTTACTTTAATTGTAGTACTGTTTAGGTGACATCAAATTTCCTAGTTATCTCATTTAGTTTTTCGATTCGATTGCATAAATTCATGCCTTTTGTTTTCATAAAGATCAAAAGCTTCCTGATGCTGCATGTATGATTGCAGAATTATGTTGCAATCAACTAGATCTTTTTACAACGCTCCTTTCCGAAGTGTAGCCTTTTTAAATCTGAATTTGTGATGCATTCTTTGCATACTCTGCATTTTAGCGTAGTGTTTAATCAATATTTTCAAGCCAATTATTAGCTTTGTATTTTGTAAGCGTAGAATTTTTTCATTTTTTAGCTGTTTTTAATTCTGGCTTTAGCAGGAAGGCGCACATTTGCTTTGTCATTAATGACCATTTTTGCTTTGACGATGTGACTGCGGCTATTTCAAAAACATGCTGAATAAAAAATATTCTGAATTATACCTTAGAGAAATAAATGATAGAAACTTTTTAACTAAATTTTTTATATTAGCGAATTGCTTTAAATAAAGTAACGATTTACTGATAATGAATTTTGTAGAAAGTTGTTTATAATTTTTTTAATTCATATAAATAATATAAGTATGCATTTTTTATAATAAACCTTATTAAAAAATAAAAAGTTATTTTGTAATGTAAATATAATACAAGGTGATTCAATTTCTATACAAAGCCATGATTTATTGACACTTAAGAATGGCATTTAAAATGATATGTTATCTGGTCTTCTGAAATGTGATTTTGGGTTACAACTATTAATTTGTTTATCTTTCCATTAATAATCTACCTTTTCTCTATGTTTTATACTTTTTATTTACTTTTTTAATGATGCTCATAGTGTGTATCAAGGTACCCCATGGGTGGAGTACCTTGAAACAAATTTCGAATTTTACTTTAAATAGTCTCACAAGTTTAACCTGTTATATTTTGGTAATTTGTAAATTTAATTTTGTAAGTATAAATTTATTCTACAAATTTAAACAATCACCTAAAAAAGACTTAATAAAAAAATTGTTACAAAGCAAAAACTAAAAGTGTGTCATGGTGCCCCACTCTCCCCATTTGCTAGATAAGTTTTTTCAAATTTTTAAATTTTGATAGCGTTAAAAGCCATGTTCAAATGTCAAAACAAAATATTATTTGTGAGATCATATAATGGCGATTGCACGTCTTCCTGTAAAAGCCTGTAATTGTAACTTTCTTTCATAAGTATTTACTTTTTTCTGAGCTGGTGTTTCAGATACTGATTTCCTTTTAAAAGTCGTAAATGTTTGTCGCTTTTTACATGCTTCCATTTTATTTATCATATTTACATGCTTCCACTTTATTTTCCGTTTTTACATGCTTCCATTTTATTTTCCATTTTTACATGCTTCCATTTTATTTTCAATTTTTACATGCTTCCATTTTATTTTCCATTTTTACATGCTTCCATTTTATTTTCCATTTTTACATGCTTCTATTTTATGATTATTTTTATACTTACTATTTAATAATTTCTAAAATCTTAAAACAAAAACTATTATATTCAATTTAAGTTGTCATAATGTTTTTGAAACAAGGTTTTTCCAACCAATCACAAACTTGCTTTATTTTACTTTTTTTCAGACATTCAAAAAAATGTTAAAGTTTCTAGTAATTAATTCATTTTATTTAAAAGTTCATTCATTCACTTTATTCAAAAAAGTTCATTTAAGGTTAGTTAACTTAGAACTCAAGACTATTATGAAATCAACCATATGTTTATCCACCAATCAAAAACATTCGTTTTTTTTATTATTCAGTTTTTTTGCTTTTTTAATATTAATCTCGTTCTTCTTTTAATTACCGTTTTTATTTTGAACTAAAGATTGTTATGGTCTTAAAACTTTTTAAAGACCATAAGGATCTTTAGTTCACTTATTTTTATTTAGTTCAAAATAAAAATTTTACTCGGGTCGCTGATTCCCTGATTCCTTGATAGTGTAAGCATTCCTTGATAGCTGACATAATGCCTATGTAACGCTTACGTATTAATCATGCGGAAGTTATTTTATTTTAAAGCGCGTTAATTACTTTAAAAATATCATGCGTCAAAACAAATTCATTTTATTTAAATTCTATTAACTTAGTGAGACTCAATATTTTGTGGTGTAGTGGTTAATAAATTAAATTGTGGTGCCTGCGCTCTAGGTTTAATTCCTATTGGAGTCTATTTTGGTTTTTTTTTAGAATATTTTTTTATTAATTAACTAATTGATGCTAATATATTATTATAATAAAAGACACAGCAGTTATTAACAGTTAAGTATTTCAGTTGATAAATAACATGGGCGCGTAACATGTAACATGGGCGTAACATGTCTTTAAAAGCGGGTGTAACGGGTGTCTTGCTTTTAAAGAAATTGTTAATGCTCTTACTCTTGAGTAATGAACTGAACAAAACTGAACTGAACAAAATACGCTCAAAACTATTTAATTCTAGCATTTTAATTCATGCCCATTTTTGAACAGCTGTTTTTACATAATTGCAATAGGATTTAATATGCTGAACTGAGATTTACCAGGTCGGCAATTTTAAAAGCCTGTTTACACTGAAATTTTTTGTTTTTATTGATGACTGAAAGAATTATATTCTAATTTTTAAGGCCGATTTTCACTGATTTTTTTTTTTTTAGTTTTGAGATATAAAGTTTTTGCTGACAACAATTAAAATTTAATAAATGGGGGGACTCGAGAGTAAGATAGTTAATAAAGAAATTCTTTAATGAAATTTTTAACTTAGAATTTTATATTTTTAATATTTGTTTTCAGTCATTTAAATTTTTAATTTTATTTCTTTTTTACTTATAAATACTCATTATGTATGCATTATATATATATATATATATATATATATATATATATATATATATATATATATATATATATATATATATATATATATATACAACCCTCAGAATTAGGGTCGGCAATGCCAACCTAGACATGTTTGTGGTCGGCAAAAAAAAATTCAGTTTTGCCGACCTCGTTTCAATGTTTTATGGTAAGACCTTTGTATTTGCTGACCTGATGCCGACCTCTTTTTCTTGAGGTCGGCAATTTATTGCTGACCTCAATTATTGCAGATTTATTGCTGACAAATTATTGCAGATTTATTTACTTTCGCCGGCTTTACTTCACTTCTCAAAATAAATATCATTTACAAGTGTAAAAGTTTGCTAAAAACGGGCAATAATAATATAAATTTCAAGATCAAAATATATATTAATATTTATCTTTTAGTATAAATAAATTTAAAAACTATCAAAATAAAATTACTTAAGGTGATAATTTATTTTTGTAAAATTGTTGTATTTTTAAATATTAATTTATTAGTTTTTATTTTTTTTATTTATTTAGTTTATTTTTTTAGATAGAAGATAAAAATGATGTTGTTCCTTCAATAGATAAAACTCTTTACGACTTTTTGAGGAATGAGTTGCATACCAAAGATGAAGAAATCGCAAGATTAAACAATACGATTGAAACATTTAAAGTAATCTTTTTTTGTTTTGTATAAATTAATATTTTATATATATATATATATATATATATATATATATATATATATATATATATATATATATATATATGTATATATATGTATATATATATATATATATATATATATATATATATATATATATATATATATATATATATATATATATATATATATATATATATATATATATATATATATATATATATATATAGGTAAACTTACTAGCGGTTTAAAATAGTTTTATTTTATGCTTATTGCACTCTCGTCAGTGGAGACTGCACATGGAGATTGTTGCCCCATGCCAAACCCTCAGTCAATATAGCGGCACTCCCTTGCAGAAGCCGATTATAAGATAGTCGATATATGTACTGAAGCCAATGAATATTCCTATGTTTAAAAGGTCTCCACGAACAAGATAATACGGGGCAATAAGTAAACAAAATAAATTAATTTAGGCCACTTAACTGTAAGATTACCATATATGTGAGTGTGTATATATTTATACCGTTTTTGAGACCTGTCTGAGGGGGGCAACCACTAGCAGGTTTTAAAAATGGTACAAGGGGCTGCCATGTTGACCTCTTTATGTATTTATGTGTTTTAATAAATATTTATCAATTCTTTTAATAATATCATAGTTGTTCTTTAAAAGGTAATACCTAGAATATTTATTTTGGTTATAAGGGTATAAAATTAAAAATTTGAATGGAATATAAATCTACTGTGAATTAAGTATGTTGACAAATAGAACTTATAACATGCTGCAGGGTTCAGCGCTCTATAATCATCAGTTTACAATTTTTATTTTTAATATTTAAGGTTACCTGCTTTTTTTAATTTTAAACTAAAGTTTATGCTTTTTTTCAGGAAGAATTAAATGAAGTGAAGAGGAGAAACAAACAGTTGTGTTTTATTCTTGGAGAAGGAGAAAGTAAATATTTTTTATTAAATTTTACAACAACAAATATGTGTGTGCAAAAACTGTTTTTATAGTGGTTTTTACTTTTATAGTTACTTTAAAAAAGAATACTGAAAATTTTTTAATACAGTAAATTGTGCTTTATAGCAAATTTTTTACTTTTAAACATTTGTATGTGCAATAATCATAAGTGCTGACTAAAGGGTGGATCAGCTTATTTTCAAATTTGTGTATGTGCAAACCTGTTTCAGTAACTTGCTTATGTGTTTCAGCCTAATAAGTACAAACTTGCATATGTGTGGCTCAATATTTTCAATATTTTTTTAATAAAAATTACAAGCTTTCTATGCCCCTTACTTTTTAAAATATTCACATTTAAGCAAGTTTCACATTTAAGCAAGTTTCTGCAAATACTTGGCACTGTTAAAGTCTCTCAATTATGCACAGGGTCTGATGTAGGCCCTAAGCTGTTTATATATGGGGCCCTTAATTAGTCTAGTTAGTTTGTCAGTACCAAGTACCAAGTATGATTTTTGGCTACATGGAGAGTAAAACAGAAATACAATTGTTCATAATTTCTGTTCAACTCTCTATGATAGGGAATAAAGAATGTAATTAATAATTTTTCAACTTAAAATTGTAATTTTTTCATAACAAACTTTAAAATATAAAATCTAGCTTAAAAATTTTTTTTTTTTTAATACAATTTACAAAGACTTAAAATGTAATCTGTGAACTATGGGCTTGACTTAATATTGATGAAAATGCTTCACTTCTCCTACAAGATTTATGTCCCCATATTTAGGATATGTTTGTATAAAACAGTAATTTTTTCACAAATCTCTTCTGTAGCTTCTAAAATTTGTTGAATAAAAACTTTTTAATTGGTTACTTGAGTTTTTGCAACATAAAAACTTTAAATGATCAAAATAATCCTGCGGTATTTTATTTTTTAAAAATTTAAGTTAAAGAAAAAGTGAACATCACTTTCATTAGTGTATAATTGAGTGTCAAGGTTAGTTTTAGATGAAGATAAAAAACATCATATAAAGATCTTTTTTCTACCTATTATTTAAATTACTCCACAGCCCAATTTGATGCTGTTTGATTCTTGATGCCTTCTGTGCCTATTTAACATTTGTTATTTCATGTTTTAAAGTAAATTCTACAAGATGCGCTAAACTGTGTATCAAAAATAAGATGACTAAATCACTGTGGTAAAGGGTTCTGTTTCTTTATATATCTTTATTACAGGGTTATTTATTTTTATATGCTTGTCTATTCATTTTTATATGCGCCTTTATTCATTCTTTTATGCGCATTTATTCATTTTTATATGCGCCTTTATTCATTCTTATATGCACATTTATTCAATTTGAACAAAAAAAAATCATTTAAACAATTTGTTTTGAAAAAACAGTTTATTTTTTCAAAACAAATTTTTCTTATTTCCTGGTAAACGAGGTTAAAAATACTTAAAATGAAGACTTTTTACATTCGATGATTTATTTAATTTAGTATTAGTTCTTTGTTTAATTTTATTATTAAATTTCTTGATTGATTAAGTTATTATTTATCTAATTATTCATTTATCTAGATTTAAATTTAATTATTTATAATTATTATTAATATCAAATTTTTACCCTATGGATGGAATAGAAAAGCAGTACTAATCGTAAAACAAGGAAAAATGTTACAAAAGAGCACATTGAAATCCTTAAGTATTTAGTTGAAAGAAATCAATCTACAACAAGCATTTCCACTTTTCTTAATTTATCGAAGCGCACAGTTCAAAATCTTGTTGTTAAGTTAGGCAGAGGAGAATTCAACGACATGACTGCATTCAAGTTGTTTTCTGATTTAAAAAAAACGAGGTAAAAGACCTATAAGCGCTCAAATAAAAAATATTATCAAATTATGCGTACAAGAAAACAAACGCAAGAAGCAATAAAAGAAAATCTTTCTGCTGCAGGCTTCAACATGTCTCAACCTACTATTTCAAGAAAACTCAAACGCTCGCATTTATCAAAAAATCGTGTTTTGCATGTGCCAGAAGAACAAAATTCAACACGAGTTATTAATGTATGCTATGCATTTGCAAGCGAAATTAACGGAATTTCAGATAAAAAACTTTTCTATTTGGATGAAACTGGATTTAATGTGCACACAAATAACAACACATATGGTTATTCGCTAAGAAGTTCGCCAGCAATTTTACAGTCACCTGCAAATCGTGGCGAGAATGTTAGTTTAATTTGTGCTGTTTCAACAATGGAAGTGCTTGCTTATGGAGCAAAAACTGGAGGCTGGAATGCAGATTCATTTTGTACAACCTAATTTATATTTTAAATTTATCTATATAAAAATTAAAAAGTGTGTTTATTGTTTATATTAAATTATATTAGAGATTTTATGGGTGGTTGACCCACTATAAATGTGCATATAAGAATGAATAAACATGCATATAAGAATGAATAATTGCGCATATAAGAATGAATAAATGCACATATAAGAATGAATAAACACGCATATAAGAATGAATAAAAGCGCATATAAGAATGAATACACCTGTAAGAAACTGCCCAGTTTTTTTATCTTACTACTTTTTCAGTTCTCTACTTATTTTTTCCTTTTTTATAACTTTTGGCTTACATCTTGCAGAATGTGGGTAGAATATTTATTATAATAAACTTCTTGTGTTATGCACATAACTAACTTCTTATGTTATGCACATCACTTCTTAAAGTGATATGCATAACATTTTTATTGAAAATTTCCGTTGATTACCACTTACTTACAATAAAGTTATATTTTTGTGATAAACAATATATGCAAAGAGAAAATTAATAATATCCTCTAAATTTGTATATCACAAATTATCACAAATGTATTTAATAAAATAATAACTGTACATTTATATATTAAACTTACAATTTGTTATTTTATCCAAAAAAAATAATTGGGACAAATAATGCTGAATTATAATAAAGTATATATGACAATTTATTAGCCGAGAACCAAGAGGCCATATGTCCACATGTTGTATTTTTTCTGTTTATTATCAATAAATATTCAGCAATCAATGTTGTTTTAAAATATTTAGAAAAATTTGCTAGATATTCTTGTAGAAAGTCTTTAAAAATGGATATGCGGTCTCTTGGTTCTCGGCTGGCGAATTGCTAACTTGGACAACTTTTTTTTTAGAATTGGTTCTAAACTTTTATACATATATATAATTTATACATAAATCCTGCACTGATTAAGCTTCCTGATTTAATTGTAACCTCTCATTTTTTTTTAGATTTATTTTCTTTGATTTAGTTTTTTTTTTTTACTATCATTCAATTTAGTGAAAGAGAAATATGAGATATTACTACAAGTTGAACAGCTAACTGTTGTAAAAAACGAACTTTCTGAGCAGGTGAAACGTTTTTTAATTTATATTTAATTATATATATATATATATATATATATATATATATATTCTTATATCGTAGTCAAAAGAGACTTTTATGGTAAAAAAAATCTCTTTCGACTACAATTTTAATTACCTCGGCTCTTAAGCTGTATTAGATTGTCTTGAAATGTCAAAACAATTAAATTAATGTGTAAGTATATTAAATTTTATTGTTTTTAAAAAAAACCGCAATAATAATGACTAGAGAGTTTTTTTTAATTAATGGTGTTTTTGTTGTTGTTTTATTAAAATATATTTTTAAAAAATGCGCGGAGTATTGCTACATCGACTATCTTATAGCCTGCTGCTACAGGGGAGTGTTGCTACATCAACTATTTTGTAGCCTGACTTGCAACAGAGTGTTGCTACAATGACTATCTTATAGCCTGACTCGCAACAGAGTGTTGCTACATCGACTGACAAATAGCCTGACTCGCAAGGGAGTGCTGCTACATCGACTGAGGGTTTGGTTTAGGCAGGCAGTCTATCATTTGAAAAAAAAAACTATAAATTTTCAAACTATTTTTGGTCTGGTTTATTAACGCGCTCTCTAAAACTACAGTTTGTAGGGAACTTTCTATATATATATATATATATATATATATATATATATATATATATATATATATATATATATATATATATATATATATATATATATATATATATATATATATATATATATATATATATATACAGTATGCAAAAAAAAAATAATCTTTTAAAATATTTAAAAGTTTTTTTTAGATATCAAGAATTGTTTTAAGAATTAATTTGTATTGGTGAACTAATTGCTTTTCAAACCTATTGAATTTTACTTAATTGATCTAATGATGCAGGTTCAAAACAAGCTTTGGACATATTCCAGGTTCGAAATGAGCTTTGGATATAGTTTCGCGATATATAGATTCGCGTCACGGTAAGGAAGGAGGCATGAACTTCCTGGTTAAATGCGCTTCCGCGGTGCTCTGTGACAAGACCATTAGGTTTTCTTGGGGCACCTAAATAACAAATTTAAAAAATAAAATAAAATGCATAAAATTGACTGCAAAAAAAATAATCGTACAGTTCGAAAATAATGTCAAATTGATCAAACTCCATGGAAATTAGTATTGAGTGGGGCCTCCTTTAGCCTTGATGGCCTCATCTAGATGGTTTGACATAGAGTTGGCCAAATTTTGGGTCTCTTAATTTGTTATATTATACCATACCCTAATTATGGCTTCTTTCAAGTTGTCTCGTTTGTTTGTCTTTGTCTTGTCAATGCTCGTTTGCCAATTTTTCTGTCCGAAAAATACCACCAATTTTCTATTGGATTCAAGTCCGTACTTTGAGATAGCCATTCCAAAACATTGATATTTGTGTCAAAGCATAACTTCATTTTTTTCAATTGTTAAGAAGCATTATCTGATTGAAACCGTTGCTAGTGTGGCTGTTAGAAAACAAAAATGCAAAACCACTAGTGCAATTGATCAAAATATCATTATTGCCATCATTAATATGAAGAAAAATAGATTTATTTTTGCAGCTAAATTAGCTTTGAAAATTCAAAAAGATTGTAACATTACAGTGACTCCTCAAATAATCAGAAATTGTATAAGAGAACAAGGATATTGAGATATTGAGTGGTTCAAAATTATTTTGGAATTTTGTCTCAAACCTATTTTAACTTCTAAACAAATGAAACGTTGACTGGAATTTGCATCAAAGTACTCAAAAATACTGATATCATATTAGAATAAAATTTTGTAGTAAAATGAGTCAAAATACAATCTCGTCTCGTCGGATGGAGTCCAAAAGGTGTGGCGAAAAAAAGGAGAAGCTTATAAATTGAGTTGTTTGCGAGGTAGTGTAATGCATGGAGGAGGAAATGTGATGGTTTGTGGTAGTATGAATTGAAAAGGAGTGGGGTAATTTACATTTAATAATGACTAAATGAATGCTTCAATGTATTGTGAAATTCTCCAAACCAACTTGCCAACATATACTTAAAAATTGAGAATGGGAAGCGATTTCATACTCCAGTAGGATAACAATCCTAAACATACCGCTAAGAAAATGAAGGTATACTTTGACATAGATAACATCAATATTTTGGAATGGCCATTTCAAAGTCTAGACTTGAATCAAATAGAAAATTTGTGGTATATTTTGGATAGAAAAATTGGCGACCTAGCATTTAGACGCAAAGACAATTTCAAAAAAGCTATAATGAGCGCATGGGATAATATAACAATTAAAAAGACCCAAAATTTGGTTAACTTAATGCCAAATTGTCTAGTTGAGGCCATCAAGGCTAAAGAAGGCCCCACTCAATACTAATTTCCATGGAGTTTAATCAGCTTGACATTATTTTTGAACTATACGATTATTTTTTTTTTGCAGTCAATTTTATGCATCATTAGATCAATCGAGTGAAATTTAATAGGTTTGAAAAGTAATTAGTTCACCAATACACAAATAAATTCTTAAAATTTAAATCTTTATTTAAAAATTTTTTTTGAATATTTTATCGGACAACCCCTGTGCAATATTTAAAATTATGATTTTTTTTTTAAGTGTACGAATATTTTTTTTGTGTATATGTATATATATATATATATATATATATATATATATATATATATATATATATATATATATAAACACGCACACACTAAAGAGTTTACAGATGTTAAAAAACACATAGACTACATACAAAATGCTATTTGACTTTCTAGTAACATTTAGTCTTTATGAAAAATATTCTTAAAATGGAAAAGAGTTTTGTTTACTTACTTATTTTGTTTTTTTTCGTTTTAACAAGTGTTATATTTTCTTAGTAGGATTTTATTAAATATAAAAAACTCCAGTAAATGATATATTGAAACATAATATATGTAATCTGGGGCTATTCTGGGAAAAAATTTGTGTGAAAAAAATTCCCTTTGTCCAGGAGAAATTTAGCAGAAAATCTGCGTTTTTTTTTTTGCGAAAAAAACAATATTCTCTGTTAAAAATGTAAATAAAAAAAAAAGTCTTCAAATTTCAATTTGAAAAGGGTCTAGAATAGCTCTTGGTAATATTCAATCAAATATTTAAATTTTTATTATTTTTTGAATTGATGTTGTATATAACTTTTCTTTATGCTAACAAATATATGATGTACAAGATTTATATTGAAAAAAAAATTAAAATAGTGTTGATGTTAAGTTAAAAGAATGCTTTAGTTACAACATGCTCACTTTACAGTTTTAATTTTCAAAAAATTTAACCCTACAGTAGAAAAATCAGAAAAGACAACATTAACACTAAACATTTTTAACATTTATAACAATTATCTGTAAAAAAAAATTTTAAGATTTATTTATGTTTTATTCTTGTTTAAGATTTATTTATGTTTTGTTTTACTCAATTATAATTTTTACAGGCGTAAATGTAGCTTTGGTTTTTAAGTAGAAATATTTATTTATAGTTATTTATTTTACAGTAATCCACTGGTCAATAAGTATAAACCTCCTATATTAAAATCATATTTTCTTCATTAATTTTGACTTGCTGATTCCAATACTTAAATCAAAATATTCCTATCACGTCAGAGAAAAAAGTTATAAAGATTCTCTAAAAAATAAAAAATAACACTAATCAAGTACTCTTTAATCATTAGTCTGATATAACACATACATGAAAAACACAATAAAGCATCAAATACAGGCATAATGTCTACTAGGCATTTGACAGTCCTTATTGAGGTCTAAGAACTAAAAGCATCTTGAGCAACATTCTACAATCTGTTCTTTCAAACGCTACAATCATTTGTTCAACCATATCAACATATCGATCAGTTCGATAATTCCTAAGGATATTTTTAATGACAGAAACAAAGAAATTTCATACCTGCAACTCCAGTGTCTTAAGAGTCAGGTAAAATTTTTTGAAGTGTGTTACTTTTCTTAATCCAACTTTTCTTTAATCAACTTGGATTCTTAATCCAACTTTTAATTAATTCCAGATTATTGTGAAGAGACAGAAAGTAGATCTTTAGTAGGTCTACAAGGGGGTGATGTAAACTGTGCCTGCCGACAACAAACTCAGATTGAGGAGGTCATTCCTTTATTTCATAATAAGCTTTGTTATCACAACTGTCCCATTCTAGACATATTTGCTATAGTTTATGATTTTGAGTATTGCTGCCATGAATTCATGCGTCTCTTTTACTATAGCATTCGGTTTTTACGCGATCTATCTGTTTATTCATTAAAAAAATTGATTATTAAATACAAAATTTGATTTTATACTCGTTACAAGCATAGGTTTGTAACGCTTAAGTTTGTTACAAGACATACATACATACAATATACATAACAAGCGTTATTTATTGCGCTGTTAAAGATAAGCGTTTTCTTCGGATTTTCACATAGGCTATCAATTTATTTGTTAACAACATTACTCATTAGATATAAAATTTGATATAAATAGCTATATAAACTTTCACTGCTAACGAAAAATATATTTTCTTACTGTAATAGAAAGCACGAAGATTTATTTACAACAATTAAAGATTACACTATAAACGTGTTTATATTACAATTATTTTTAGCAGAAAATTTAATTGTGCATTATATATATATATTTTTTTATTTTGCTCAAATTAAGATAAGTCTATCTAATTCATTATAATGAATATATAAAGTATATAATTCATTACATAATATAAAAATTAATATGCAATAATTTTATGTGTAATAATATTATATATATACAGTATTGGATAAAACATTTGCAACCAACATGGAACAATGCTAAAAAGTGTTCCTAATTTTACATGTCTTAAAAATAAAACGAACTATACTACCACAGCAAACAGATCAGGAGTATGGAGTCATAGCATGCCATGACATAAGCAATCAGCTGACAGGTGACAACACTTAGGCAGAATTTTGTAGACAAGTGCCATTTTGCAGCGGACAAAACAAGCGCAACTT